AGTCCTGACCTGTAGATGAGTGTAAACTGCAGAGTCCTGACCTGTAGATGAGTGTAAACTGCAGAGTCTCGTCTGTGCTGGCTCATTCTTTTGAACAGTGGCTGTTTTGTTTCCTCAATGTWTRACTGATCACAGTCCTCCTGACACTTAACAGCATACACTATATTACTCTGTTTTTGCTGGGGCACTGGACCTTTGGGGTGAACGTGACCCTCTATGAACAATAGAGCTAATCAAGCTTATTGTTAAGCAATGGCCCTCTTTTGTATGTGACTAACCTGTTTGTCCACTCTGTGGAGGCGGAGCTTATAAGGCTGAGTTCACCTGAAACTCATCAGACTGAAGAAGTCTTTTGGAGGAGAGACGAAACGTTTCTCTAAAGAAGAACCCATCCAGAGGACCTACTTATTTATTTCTTTTTGAGTTTCTTAAGATATTTTGCTAACACACTCACACACATTTGCAAAGACATCTTAGCTGTGAGCTGTGGCGGCGGGCGATCGTATATCTGAGCCAGGAGCTGTGCATCAGCTGATGATCGGTCACCACAGGACTGTGTGTGAGGATGAGGAGTAGGACAAGTGGGGATGAAGATCACCTCCCAAGAGGGCAGCTTTGTGTCCCCCCTCCACCCCCTCCTCACTAAACATCCTCCCTGAGAGGCAGTGGAGTCATTTGCTCAGTCTTATGATGTGGTCACGGCGTGTTAGTGGCGAGCTGCTAGGCCACATCGCCACCGTCACCCCCCCTCCTCCCCTGGCTTGCTGACCCCCCACCTCCGCCCCCGCCGCTCCAGCTCCTCATCCCTCAGTGGTCAACGCAGGCTGCTGACGCAGGCCGGCAGAGGTAACAAGCTTACCTGCGGATAATCTCCTAAGAGAAATTTCAAGGGAAGAAATGGGCGAGCGGGGGGAGGCTGGGAGACAGAGAGACGAGGCAGGAGGGAGGGATGGAGGAAAAAAAAAAAACTTACAGAAGTTTTTAGTCCCTGACTTGCTGCGCCAAGCACTTCCTTTTCTCCGAGCCAACTTCCCCTCTGTGGTCAAGCACTCACTGCTCTCACAATGGCCTCGCTGAGGAGAGGGGGGAGAGGAAACCGAGGTGAAAAAGTAGCTATAATGTGAAAAAATCTTACCAGGAATAATTACACAAACATATTTTAGCTGTTTGCTCTGTCTCGATCGAATTAAACTAATTTAATTCAGTGCAAATTTAAAACACAAACAACAATTAACTCTGCCTAAATGTTTAAATCAAACATGTCTGTAGACAGTAAATACATATGGAAATGAGTATTCAAAGCATGTGTGCCAAAAACAACCCGCCACAACATTTTCTGTGGCCCAACGAGAGCTTAAAAGATATATAAATGTTTAAAACAGATTCTGCTTTAAAGGGCCTATGTCATGCATATCCTTTAAATACAAAAAAGTTTTAAAAAATATTTATATTTAAGAAATTTGGTATAACACACAATTTTACCCATTTTTTCTTGTAACTGGCAGATTTTCTTCTTAATTTGGCTCAACTGAAATGAAAAAGGAAGTGACGTCAAAGTGGAACTCTTGAGGAAGAAAACTCTCTGGTCTTTGTTTATTGAAACAATATTATTTAAACGGAAATGTCAGCTTATCGTCTGCTAATTCCAGTTTATACATGCTAGTTGCTAGCCTCTCCAGTGCTAACACCAGCTTATCCATGCTGGTCACTAACCTTTCCAACGCTAACGCTAGCTTATCCATGCTAGTTGCTAACCTTTCCAATGCCAACGCCAGCTTATCCATGCTAGTCGCTTACCTTTTCAATGCTAACACCGGCTTATCTAGTCGCTAGCCTCTCCAACGCTAATGCCAGCTTTTCCATGCTAGTTGCTAACCTTTCCAATGCCAACACCAGCTTATCCATGCTAGCTGCTAGCCTCTCCAATGCTAATGCCAACTTATCCATGCTGGTCACTAACCTTTCCAATGCTAATGCTAGCTTATCCATGCTAGTTGCTAACCTTTCCAATGCTAACACCAGCTTATCCATGCTAGTTGCTAGCCTCTCCAATGCTAATGCCAGCTTATCCATGCTGGTCACTAACCTTTCCAATGCTAACGCCAGCTTATCCATGCTAGTCGCTTACCTTTTCAATGCTAACACCAGCTTATCTAGTTGCTAGCCTCTCCAACACTAATGCAAGCTTTTCCATGATAGTTGCTAACCTTTCCAATGCTAACGCTAGCTTATCCATGCTAGTTGCTAAGCTTTCCAACGCTAATACCAGCTTATCCATGCTAGTTGCTAGCCTCTCCAATGCTAATGCCAGCTTATCCATGCTAGTNCTCCGATACCAGCCTTTCAGTTACCAGTGCCGACCTATTATTTACCAGATCAATAGCTGGCTTATATAGGCTGTGTCTCAATTCATATGTTGCACATACATGTCAACCTCTTCGGACGTTTACCTGTATAAAAAGCCTCAAAAGTATGTAAATTTTGCAAAAAATCTGTAGGTACAACTCGCACCCGCGGTGGTGGTGGTGGGGGGTGGGGTCAGTCGGCTGTGGAGCTGCGGAGATGACAGCATCCGCTGCAAAGCAGGAGGAATGCAGAGCGCAAAAAGTTCAAAACTTATTTCTAATGGCAGAAAAGGTTGGAAGTTTGATGTTATTTATTGTTTTTTTAAAACATCCTACAGGCTCTGCCATGTTAGATAAATTTGAAAATGAGGTTTTGAAAAAATCCGTAAGATTGCTCTATACATCCGTATACCTGCAAAATGATGTAAAATCCTTATAACTTAGACAATCCGTACAAGTTGACATGTATGGTTGCAGCCGACATAGACCTCACCCCACATTGTCCAGAGTCTACGTGGGCTGTAGGCCGCTCGTGTCGGCTGCATAAACGGCTGTGAAATGAGAAGTTCTAAAAAAGACGCAAGTTTGCGTGAACACGTTCTGCATCATTACCAGTTGTTTCTTCAAGGTATAACTTCATAAAATTCAGTTTTAACAGAAAAAAAAAACGTTACAAGTAAATAAATAAAAAGCATTAATAATGTGAGTTCAGCTCTAATATCAGTACTTGTAACTGCATTTTATTTAACATCTCTTTGCAACAAAACTTTCTTCAGTTAAGTCAACTTACATTTTTCGGTCCATCACAAAACTTCAAACTCCGTCATAATAAAACAAACACACTCCACTGTAAAAATTTAAAAAGAAAACTGTTTAATTTGCTGATGGTGCAATGATACCATCAGCCAGGATTTGACACCCTGATTTAAAGGAATTCCTCCTTCTTCACGCTGTTTAATTTATAACTTTAGTTTTGTTTTTATTCCACCTCCTTTTAAGAAACATAAAACGGATCACAAACCTGAAAAAACTATCATTATTCTCTTATAATCGTTTTGTTCTGCACGCTGGTTGGAAACATTCAAAGTTCTGTCCTCTGAAACCAGGAGGTGAAAAGAAACGGGAAAAAGTTTGGAAATTAAAAACGCAGCGAGTCAAWGCGGTGAAGCGGTGTGTGTCTGTGTGTGTGTTTGAGCTAAGTTAAAGCCTCTCTTTTAATCAAGACCATCTTTAATGAAGTGTCTTTGTGCATCACTTTCATTAGCACATTTACTCAATCAATACAYGCTGTGTGTTCAAGCACTTCAATGAGAATTATAATGTCACGCTAGAGTCGGAGAGGACTGTTTTCTGTGTGTTGTTGTCACGTGCGCCCGCCTCTGCATGTTGTTTACGTGTTTGCACGTAGATCAGATTGTGTAGGTGCCAGGTGTGTGCGTTCCGGTTGAAGACGCACCTAGACGCCACAATTAACTTCCAGTTCAGGCCGAGCCATCAATAGTAATATACATCAGTCAGCCGCTGCTCGTTCCCTCTTCTTTTCCCATCATGCAGCAGTTTGGGCCGCCAAACGCACTGATTAGCCCTCTGACCATTTAATTAATTAGGCTCGGCACTTAATTATGACAAACTGCATTACGGCCGCGGCGCGCCGGGGCTCGGGCAGGTTATGTTCGGTAACAATTTGATTTGAGCGAAAATGGGGAGCACTGATAGAGGAGGGGGGAGGATTTATTGAGCGGAAAGAGACATATGATGAGATTAACAATAATCAGAGCAGCGGGAATAGCCTGTGACCAGGCAAGGAGCGGCGGGTTGGGGTGGGGGGTGAGTGAAGGGCTGAGATGGATCAAATTAGGTTTTTCTCTTCTCATTAGGGTCTGAGGAGCAAAGTGATGCTGAGGGAGTCTGAGAGTGTCTGTGTGGTCGACTGGATGAGAATTTATTAAGCTCAGTCTGTAGATTTTCACTGAGGCTGGGATAATAATCTAATCTACATTAATCCCCCCCACCGCCACCACTCCCTCCGCTTACTCTGTTGGTAGAGAAGTGGAAGAGGTCAATTAACGCAGAAATATTTAAAATGCTCGTTAAAAAACCGTCTCCATTGTTTGATTTTCTCAACTTCCATCTATTAAAAACATCTTTCTCAGCTCTGCTTCCCGTGGGAGGAAAGAATCTCTGGGTGAGGACTTGCAGAGGAGGCTGTCTGGTTTTACTGTTTGCAGATGATGTGGTCTTGTTCGTGCCTTCAAGCTGTGGCCTTAAGCGTGCTCCGGGGTGGTCCACAAACTTGCACAGTGGCTCAGATGAGCATCAGCTCTAATACAGGTGGTATCTCACTGGGATGAGACCATTCTGTTGCAGACTCCCTGAGGGTTTGTATCCAGCAAATTGCGATTTATGCAATAATATCAAAGGATTTTCAAGTATGTAACGGTTTCAGAAACATCAATACAAAGTTATTTTCAAACATGGTTGAGTCACAGTGTTGTTCTTTAGATCATTAAAATGCAGGAGACTTGGCTGATGGCCAGCTGAGGGAGTTTATTGGAGTTACACGGTTCTCAGACAATCCAACAATGGATAAACCGAGAACGAGAGAGAAACACGAAATCAGGCTCTGGTGTCTTTTATACATCCTCTGCACGTCTTCAGATCAAACCAAGCCAAGATTTGAGAAGACTTTTCACATACACACACGCTAGCTGCATTTCCATTGACCATGAAACCGCGCAGATTAGAATTTTGAAAATAAATTTGCTCAATGGAAACACGTCAATTTAAAAGAAATTACATTTTTCGACAAAATGTTTTTGCGCTAGGATGAGGTGGTATTTCGACCGTATCGAAATTGGTGTTTTTTGCAAAACTGCAATGGAAACACTTTTTTCGCATCACGGGAGTCACGTGATCAACAACCGGCTGTTTCTACTGGCGAAAAGATGACGAAGAAGATAACAGGAAGTAGAAATTGTAGTAAAATCACCAAAGTAGTAAAATAAAGTAGTAAACTTACCGACTACAATTTCCCAAAAACACAGCATACGTAGCCGCTCCCAAGTAGGGACTTGTCTCTGGAAAGCCTCGATAAAAGACGCCGACGTCTCCTCTGATGATGAGCGCTAGTGTCGTGGTAGCAACATGCTATGTGTTTGCATCCATGGCCGCCATGTTTGTAATGACTTATCGTGAGAACAAACGTTTTCACGTGACTTTAATAACATTTCTTACTCAATGGAAACACCGCATTTGTGAAACTGTTTTTTTTACATTAACAGAATATCGAAAAAGTTTTGTGCACATTTGCAATGGAAATGCAGCTACTGAAGACCATCATCAACTCTTTTCCCAGAAATCCTATTCACCACCCCTTTCCYGATAATTGGTACATCCCTGTTCTTCCTCTGTCGTAAACACGTCTGGAGTCCCATACACACTAATGACGGCAAACCTTTGAACTCGTGTTTTTACCACTGTCCAGCCAACTTTCTGTTCTTTCCCAATTTTCCTGGACCAAATATGGCAATCTGTTTATAACAGAAATAATCTGGCTTACACATCTAAGGCCGGCGTCACACTACAAGATAATCATGCCGATTTTTGTCCTTCCGACAATCTTAAGAACCTGCCACTTCAACAGGAGCAACATTTCCAGGAGGGTAAACTTAGCAGCGTCCTTCAAAGGCCGCTTACGTCACTGAAGACCGAAGGCTGTCCAACTTTGA